CCCGCGGACCCGGGTCCCCGACTGTCACTCCGCCCGCAGCAAGACCTACGGCAACGTGCTGGTGCTCGATGGCGTCATCCAGTGCACGGAGCGGGACGAGTTCTCCTACCAGGAGATGATCGCCAACCTGCCGCTGTGCAGCCACCCCAACCCCCGCAAGGTACCCGCCCGCCCTCCCTCCCTGCAGCCCCGGCTCTTGGGCTAGGAGCCGGGGCTGGGCAGACTGGCCAGGTGTGCCCGTTTCTGCCTGGAAGCTCTCCAGAGGACCGCCGGAGAAAGTGCCCGCAGGAATGGGGGAGTCGGTCCCCTGAGGGGGTGGGCAGGCCTAGCCTGGCCCAGGGGAGAGTGCAGTCGCACCCAGGCCTGAAGCAGCACCCCTAGGGGGGCGCTTCCGGGGAAAGGGGGTTCGGGTGCCAGATTGCCGAGGCAGAAAGGGGGTGCAGCGCTCAGGGGGAAGCCAGGAGCCTGGGGCTCAGAGGAGCCGAGAGCCGGCCTGGCTCCAGGTAGCTCTGTGTACAGTGCTCTGGCTCTGGGGCTCGCCCACACCCGCTGGGCCCTGACTGACTGCCACCTCTGCCCAGGTGCTGATCATCGGGGGAGGCGATGGGGGCGTCCTGCGGGAGGTGGTGAAGCACCCCTCGGTGGAGTCCGTGGTCCAGTGCGAGATCGATGAGGTGAGTGCCTAACCCTCCCTGGCCTGGCTGGCCCAGGTGATTTACCTCTTTCCTCCTCTGACAAACCCAGGATGGTAGTAAAGGACTTTGAACTCAAGGCCTGGATGTTGTCTCTTCACTTTTCCACTCAGGCTGGTGCTCTACCACTTGAGCCACAGCTCCACTTCGTGCTTTTTGGTGGTAAGAGTCTTGTGGGTTTTTCTGCCCAGGCTCACTTTGAACCACAATCCTTAGATCTCAGCCTCCTCCTGAGAAGCTACGATTATAGATGTGAGACACCAAGGCCTGCCTAATCTTAGTGCGATTAGAACTAATTTTCCAGCTAGTGTCAGGTGAGGCTCAGGTGCCTCCCTTAGCCTCCAGCCTGCTGGTTGCTGACCCTGCCTTGCCCCAGGTGTCCGAGGTGCTGGGCCGAGTGAGTCCTGCCCTGGGAGCTGGTGTTGAGGCTCAAGGAGATATGAGAAGATGATCCATTGGGGCTTAGTGGGCAGGAGGGAGGAATCGGCCGGAGCTACAGGCTGAGGAGCGGAAGCACAGCTGTCTGCGCCCGGTGATTGAGGGAGAGCAGGAAGTGATGCGCGAGCGGCCGCGCTCTCCCTGCTTTACACCGCGGACACGGCTTTCAGAAGGGGAGGGCTTGTTCAGGGTCACCCAGATCTGGGGGACACAGTGGGCGTCCGCTGGGTAGATCCCAGCCCCATGACCCAGGCTCGCACCCCTGCCCCCTCCCCAGGACGTCATCCAAGTCTCTAAGAAGTTCCTGCCGGGCATGGCCATTGGCTACTCGAGCTCAAAGCTGACCCTCCATGTGGGCGACGGCTTTGAGTTCATGAAACAGAACCAAGATGCCTTCGACGTCATCATCACCGACTCCTCAGACCCCATGGGTAAGGGGCCACCGGTCCGGTGCTGCTCCCCCGAGCTAGAGCCGGGACCGCTCCTCAGCGGTCATCCTCTTGTCCTCCCCACTCAGGACTGGAGGCGAGAAACTGGCCACTGCTAGCGCTACATCCACAAGAGAGTGGTGGGCTGGCCTTGGCCCACCGAGGCCTCGGTGTCCCCTCCAGCCCTGTGCACTAGAGCGGCCGGCGCTGGGGTGGGCTCCAGTCCTGGGCTGGGGGCCGCAGTGCTGACCAGAAGCCTGCGGAGCCCATGGTATCACGGGGCTTAGGGCTGCAGCCGAGGGCAGCCGTGGGGCCCCAGCTGGCTGGGTCTCAAGCCTGCCTGCCCCGCAGGCCCCGCGGAGAGCCTCTTCAAGGAGTCTTACTACCAGCTCATGAAGACGGCGCTCAAGGAGGACGGGATCCTCTGCTGTCAGGGTGAGCGCGGGGCGGGGCAGGACGGGGGGAGGGGGTGCCCCTGCGCCTCGCCCGGGCTGACTGTGCTCACAGGGGAGTGCCAGTGGCTGCACCTGGAGCTGATCAAGGAGATGCGGCAGTTCTGCAAGTCTCTGTTCCCCGTGGTGGCCTACGCCTACTGCACCATCCCCACCTACCCCAGCGGCCAGATTGGCTTCATGCTGTGCAGCAAGAACCCGGTGAGCATGCGCGTGGGCACACGGCTCCTCTGGGGGTGGGGTGGAGAGGAGAACCCCTCCTGGACCTGACCGTCGCGCCGTGACCCGATGCCCACCGTCCTGGCCCCCAGAAGACCAACTTCCAGGAGCCCGTGCAGCAGCTGACCCCCACCCAGGTGGAGCAGAGGCGGCTGCGGTACTACAACGCCGACGTGCACCGCGCCGCCTTCGTGCTGCCCGAGTTTGCCCGCAAGGTGAGGGGCCCCCAGCCCACCCATCCCCCACCCCGTCCCCGCTCAGCCCGAGCCCCGCCCTGACCCCCCTCGTGCCCCACAGGCCCTGAACGACGTGAGCTGAACCCAGTGCCACCACAGCACTACCAGGATCCCAACTGGACAGGGGAGCCCCAGGCTGCCGGGCACCCCCAGGCCCGGACCAAACCTCCTGCTGGCTCTCGCCCACCAAGCAAGTGTTACAGGCCCCAGAATGCTGCCTGGCCTGCCCTGCTGGGCGGACTGTCTGTGTGTCCGTGTGTCTGTCTGTGGTGTTTGGCCCCGCGCCTCTACCAGCTCTGTACAGCACCGTCTCTGCCCCCGACAAACACGCGTATTTATAACAGCCTCTGAATCCGCTCCGTGCCCTCCGCGAGCCACACTCCCAGGTGCGGGGTGTTATGGGGGCTCCAGGTGTGACGTGGGCCTTGATTTCAGACCCTCGCACAGAGAACACTGCAGCCCTGGGCTACACACTCGACAGATGGAGGCCCACCTCCAGTGGCTTCTCTAGCTACAGCAGAATGTTCCAGAGAATTCAGGCCTCATAGCATGGGGGCAGGTGGCATCTGGGCACTCAAGGTGACCCCCTGGGGCCTCACTGTGGCAGAGTCTGCCCCGCTTCTGGGCTAGAAGCCCAGGTCTGGATCCAAGCCTGGGCTGAGTCCTGCCTGCACCCGCCCCCGAGCTCCTAGGGCAGATCCGGGCATGTGCCCTTGGGGTTGGGGTGCCCTGCGAGCCCAGGCCTGCGCCCTCTCCAAGGTGCTGAACTGCCTGCAGCCTCCTCAGCCCCGGTGCCTCTCGGAGGTGGGAGAGGGGCGCCCAGGGAGGCTCCAGCCCCCTCTTGGAAGCCCTGGGGCAGCTGGGCAGCGCCGAGGGTCCTCCCCGACCGGCCTGGGCCCGAGGTGGCAGGGAGCTCACATCCAGCTTTGCCATCAGCTCTGTCTCAGGCCTGCCTACCCCACCAGCTCTGGTCTCTAGAACGCATCACGGGAGTCTGCCTCCCCCACTCAGACCGCACCCCAGCTGCAGGCCCAGTGCTCACTGCAGGGAAGACTAGTGTGGCTGTCCACCACGGAGTCTACCCACTGTAATCCTCAGCCACACGCCAGGCCACTCGAAGGAGCGATCATCTAGCTGTAGGCAGGGGAGGGGACCAGCGCATCCACTTAAATCTCCAGCCCCCATGCCTTGAGATGCTCCCCGCCCCACCCCCCAGCCCTAGGGCCGACTCCGACCTCCCCAGCCACCTTGTCTTACAGATGGCAGCCAGAGCGCCACCTACTAAACTAATGTGATAAGTAATCAGGTTGCTGATCTGCATTGCCAGCAGTAAGAAGCAGTTGAGCCTGGCATGGTCTCCAGCACTCTGGAGACTTGAGGAGGATCAAACGCTTGAGCCCACCCTGGGCTCCGCGCAAGACCCTGGCTGAACATCAGAGTCCACGGAGATAGCAGGGGAGGAGCTTTGGCACAGTGGAGGACCAGGCTGCCTAGCATGGGTCGTATCCGGGGGGTGCGGTGCAGACCGGGGGTCACCTGAGTCCCCAACACACCATAAGGCCAGTTTGAGACATGGGGGAGAAAATCCTAGGGAGGTCAATTTTTGTTGGTGAAGAGACTTGAACTCAAGACCTGGGCTTTTTCACGCAAGGCTAGCATTCTACTACTTCCAATTTTCTGGCAGTTAATTGGAGATAGAGGGTCTCGGCCTTTCCTGCCTGGGCCAGCCTCAAACCTCAGCCTCCTGTGTAGCTAGGATGACAGGCGGGAGCCGCCATCACCCAGCAGAGTTTTAATTTTTGGCAAATTAGCCATGCTTCAGGACTGCACTTGTGACGCCTCCCATCCACCTCTGCCTGAGGCCTCCTTAAAGCCCCCGGGTCTCCCTGGCTGACCAGTGGCTTTTGTAGTCCTTCCCGTGACCACTGGTTTTACGCTAATGTGGTGGCTTGGGCAGCCGCCCAGCTGGTCAGCAGCCAGCCCTGACCTCCAGGAAAAGCACTTAAAGGGGGCTGGTGGTCTTGGTGTTTCACCCAACAAGCTTCCAGGGGTGCGTGCGTGTATGTGTGATTGTGGCTTGAACTCAGGGCCTCATATTCACTAATGGCTTTTTTGTTGGTTAATTGTAATTTTTTTTTTTTTTTTGCCAGTCCTGGGGCTTGAACTCAGGCCCTGGGCACTGTCCCTGAGCCTCTTTTGCTCCAGGCTAACACTTGAGCCACAGCAACGCTTCGGCTTCTTCTGTTTATGTGGTACTGACAAGTTGAACCCAGGGCTTTGTACATGCAAGGCAAACAGTCAACCACTAAGCCACCTTCCCAGCCCCTTGTAGAGAGTCTTATGGCCTTCCTGCCCGAGCTGGCTCTTTTTTTCCTTTTTTTGGTCAATCATGGGGCTTGAACTCGACCTGGGCGCTATCCCTCAGCTCTTCAGCTCAAGGCGAGCACTCTA